AACTTCTTTTCTCTGAAACACCATTTCTCGAAAGCCATCTGAAGAACTTTTCAGAAGATGTCTACAACTAGAAAGGAATCAATGCTTACATTAAGAAACTGGCCTTCTCCATTCTGCTCTTTAGCTGCTTTGCACATCCGTTCTGCTTTGAGTGATAATTTTGTAAATTAAGAATTCAAGGAGGCATCAGTAGTCCAACAGTTACACACCCCACACAGTCAGCTCTGGGGACATAAGAACTCACACTGATGTGCAGCCACCCAATTCCTCTCCCTTTGATTTGAAAGCTCCCTTAAGTATAAACTTTGACTGATAAGTCTTGAAGATATCAGATCATTGAGTAAGAACTGAAATCATTATTGTTTTTATCAAGCACCATCAAATGAAAAAGGTCATTCAGAAGTCCTGTGTGATTTCATAAAGACATACATAATTTAGCTGCTTGAATTTCTTGTTAGTGAACATAATTGCAGTATTTTAGTTTACTTGCCGTTTCTTAACTGGAAGCATTTTCATTCTTTATGAGGCACTCAGCAGGTGTACACATAAATTTGTGTCAACATCTGAATACAACTTATTGCTCATTTAACTCAAAAATTAAAAAAAAATGGGACCACGTCTCAAAAAACAAATAAATAAAATGAGAAAGCAGAGGAGTTGGAGCAGTGGCTTTCAAAGAAAAAAGCCAGAAACAAAACAGGGAGGCTTTCTGAAATACTTTTTCCAAGCACTGTTGTTATAGGTGTTTCCTGAGGAAGTGACAGGCTTTTCCCTCTCCATCCCCCTCAAGTCTCACACCCTTCAGTTTTTGTTTTTTCTCTTTAAGCACAGAGTCTGAGAGGCGCAAGCAAAGAGCAGCAAGCAAGCACAGTGGACACTTATTTAGATTTGTGCAATCAACAATGGGAAGAGAACCAGACTTTTTTAATGCCAATTCGGTAAAGAAAAGCAGGAATTAAAGGTAGTCTTGTACTTAATTTCAGGCAGGTGCTTCACTGAGCTACGGCCTCTAACCCACACAAAAGCATCAGTGCAATTAAATGCCATCTAGTTTCTTTATGACTGTGCTTCAGTGCAGTGTTCTTGCAACTGGAAGCCATTTGGCTGGGGATGGTTTTATGTTCTCTGATTTTAGAGCTCAGGGCACAGTGAGGACTCCAAGCCCTCCATTCCTCCAGCAGCTTGGTCCTCCCAGGGCAGTGCTGAATGAACACAAAATCCCAGTTATGAGCAGTCCTCACAGAAGGGGATATATGAGCCTTCATGTAAGGATAACTTTATAAATTGGCCACTGCCTATTGCCACTAACAGATCTAACTCTTGCTTCTCCACTCAAATTTGCAGATCTCAAAAACTGAAGACCTAAATAGAGAAGGTGACAAGCTCTACACATCTGACCCTCAAATCCTGCAGTTCAGAGTAGAGAGATCTGGATTCCAAAGCCTCATGTAGATGTGCTGGTGCTGCTACGGGGATTTTATTGCTAAAAGACAAACAGAAGACACCCATCCTTGGTGCATACATGGATTCAGCCCTACAGTACAGCACCTTCCCACTGCAGCGTGTCAGCTCAAAGACTATCGCATTTTACACACTCAGACAACAGTTGCTTCTGTAGCACACACTGATCCAAGGCACAAGCAAAATGGTCCCTTAGGACTCTGTTGCTATTGCACTCTCAGCAGTCACTGCAAATCTTTCACTCCTTTCCCCTTGTCTTCTTTCTCTTCAAAAACCAGTGTGGCCAATTACCTCCCTGCTTTCACAAACACCTCTCCTAGCCATTTGAAGTGGAATGCTCAGCAATGAGGCGTTACTTCTGTGACTAACAAGTTTCCAGGCTGCTAATCTAGAATTGCTGTTGGAAGGCAATATTTTACTCCCATTGGATTAATGTTCTTACACTCAACTATGCAAAGAGATTGAAACCTAATCTCGGATACCCTGAGTGTGAAGAGCCCTGAGGAAAGCTACTCCAAGGTCCAGACTCTGGTCTTCATGCAGAAAAGATTTCAGCTAAACTCAGTCCAATTTATGCTCAGGTTGGATCCTACAGAATACAGGCCTTGGTGACAGCCTCGTGCATCATTCGAGGGCAGCTGCCCATGTAATTGATCAGATGAAAGCACCAACAGCACGCAGAAGTGCTCAACTGTAAATGGAGGCAGACGGCAAAGCTCTGCTCTCAGCGCAGACACACAAGCAGCTGGTGAAGTTGTCCTCTGGTTTTACATCGACACACCTCCTTCCAGTTCAGCACAGCGACTCCTGATCAGTGCCAGCACCACTGAAAAAGCCAAGCCAGCAACCCCTACCTCAGCTGAGGTTGCTAGTTAATGAGAATAGGGGCAGCACATTTTGAGCAACAGACTTTCATGGGCTTTTCCCATTGTTCCTTAGCCAGCATTGATCAGAGAACTAAAAAGGGTTGCGCCAAGTTCTCAAAAGATTTTAGTGTGAGAATGCAGACCACATGTGCTGAATGGTAAACAGCTCTTGAGAATCAGAATAAAAAGATCTTTACAGTCCATGCAAACAAAAGTAAATGCCAGAATCTAAATGAAATGGAGCTTTCCAAAAGCCTGAGGCTACTAAGATGTCAGGGCTGAGAATGTAGCCTTGTTTCTTAGAAAGCCATAAAGAACATCCCATTATCTAGAGGTGGCCCTGTCCTGTTCCCAGCAAAGCACCAACGTCCTTTGATTCTCTTCACATTTCATCCCATCTGAGACATGCCTGCTCCTATCAGATTTGTTGAACCTCCTATTAAGTGTCATTGATTACTGTGTAAGAGGGTAGCCAGCAAAGAAGGGAATACTGCCAGTGAAGTAAACACCATTTATTAACGAACAGAATAACATGGAATACAGCAAACCAGTTTAAGCCACACCATCCAAACAGTCCTAACACAGAGAAAGCTTTGAAATACTTTGTTTTCCTGTTTTAAAGATGCGCATGCAGATGAGAGCTGAATGAGAGGGAGAGTTATTGCACTGGGGGATCACAAGTCCCCAGAGACTCAAGTGAAAACACATGAGTTAGAAAGGACTGCAATTTAGCTGCTATAAAAAGACTGGTACTGCTGTATCCATGCTGGGTATTCAGAATAAAGACCCTCGGTCCTGCTTCAAATAGCCTCAGAAGCAGATCCTTTCAGGTCTGTGAAGCTTTGTGCAGGAGACTGCCTGGAGATTTAACCCACTTGGGAACCAAAGGCTCCTGCCGGGATAAATCCTCAAGAAAAAGTCCTAGTTGGCCCCAGGACACATTGCCTCTGTGGAGGCTGATGAATGCCTGCAGCTTTGAGGTTAGACAGCTTTTCGTTTGTTTAAACTAAGTTTTGGCTGCTGCAGCATAAACCTACTACTGCTCATGCAGTCCTCACAGGCTGTGCAGGACTGCTTCCTCCACTTCAGCACAACTGCTGGTGCAGCTGCCAGCAGCTGCTGCTCTGATTCTTCCAAGTGCACTTACTCCTTGCAGCTCTGCCAAGGGTTCCAGAGCACCACTGGCACGGAGCAGAATGAAACACACGGTTTCCCAGGCACCTCTCATCTCAACTCCTTTCTTTGGACCACCGCTCCCACTTTTTCCCTATCTTGGTTTTCGCCCAAGGCACAAACCAGCACCGCATCACTGATGTAAGTGAGGCTGCTCTGTTCATCCAGAACAAGAAGGTCCAACCTGTGCAGCAAGGCTCTATCGCCATGGCAAAACAGGCCGTGAAAATTCCCTGAGGAAGTACATACTACCTCCACCAGAAGATCTGCTTTATGTGAGCAAGGACAGTTCAAATCAAAGGCAAGGGAGGGGCAAAGGACACTGAAAAATGCAATTTCACTAATAAGCCTTTAAAAGATAAGGTTGCTCGTAGGAGAGAGATTCTAGGTCCTCCAGCAGGGCTGGAGATGTTTTGAGATTAGAAGTGCTTTGACACTTGAAACTCATCTCATCCCACCCCTCACAATCTATGCTGATACCATTTTGAAAATACAGAAAGCCTGCATCACAGCCTCTGCCCCTTCTCTTTCACTCTCAATCTGTACCGAGACCAACTATGTTAGAGTTGACAAGTTAAGAAAGCTTGTTAAAGCAGCACCAAACCTTGAGTTCTTTAGTTAGCTCTTTTATGGCCCTACAGGTGAACAGGGAAAAAAAAATAATATATATATATATATATATATACATGGTTCACATTGGGTCTCTTTTTTCCAAAGAAATTCTTTCCAGTGCTATTTTACAGGTTTACACATTCCTTCAATGAACAGAAACCTCATAGCAAAACAGGCGTTTAAAAAACATGCTAAGCTACCACGAAGTAAATTACTGACTTAACAGCCAGGCACCTACAGGCATAATTGGGTTTCATTTGAAGAACAAATTAAAGCAATATGCACATTAGCCTACAAGTTTGCAAGGGGCAGAAAGAGTCTGGAAACTTTCCAAAATGCAGAAGATTAATAAAGCTCTGACAAAAAGTCCCACAGGAATCACACTAAAGAAGGACCATCTTCCGGGGATGGCCAGACCCACACATAACTGCATCTAGACCCACAGACCCATGCCTAACTACCTTGGCACTCAGGCTTCCACAAGACAGGCAGCACAAAGGCTGCATTTGAAATACAAACTGCAATGAGGGGGAAGAGATGGGTCAACAGGCACATCAATGGAACCTGATGGAGACAGAGAAGGAAGCAGGGGGATGAGTACTTACGTGGATACTGCAGTGACTGGCTTCAAATTCCAAAGGACTTCACTGAAAAGTGCCTTTTGCTTTGAGTCCAGAGGCAGCCATAGTGGTTCCCTCTCTTCCTCCAGTGTCAAGTCCAGCACTTCAGCACCTCGTAGGCCTTACTACTGCCTGTACTACTAACAAATCCCAGTTTATGTGCCACCGAGACGAGGGTGGGATAACATCCCTGAACAATGGAAAAACATCCTGCCCCCAAAAAACAACAACCCACCCTCCAAAATACTCCATTGCAGCGACAGCATACCACAAGTCTCCTCAGATCCACAGCACTCGCCATTGCAGGAATGTTTCACTACACAAGTGACTTCAGGATGTCTCTTCATAAAAGAATGGAACCGGCTTCCTTGCTGGTTTATCTCCTTCATCCAGACTTTCTCATGCCTGTCACCTCCTTCTGCCAAAGAGGAAAGAAAAGGATGAAAACAATTAAGTAGCTGAAAGAGAAAATAACTAACAGACACCAAGGGCTTGAAACTTAAAGCAAGGAAGTAATCTGTGGAAAGAAGAAGGCATTGAGAAAAGGCAAAACGGTAAAACAAACAGACAACAAAAGAACCCACATCCCCCACCAAAAAAAACCAAACCAACACAAAGCAAAACAAAAACAAACCAACAAACAGATGAAAGAAGTAGAGAGAAATAACGAAAGATAATGAGCAGTCTGTTATCAGCTTCAAAGCTGGTCTTGAATGTTCTCCTCCAGTTATTCCTAGGTTTTTCCTTCTCTCAAGCCTGTCCCTAGAAAAACAGCTTCCCTTCAATCCTATTTCATTTTCGAACTCTCTACTTCTTCCCATTCACAAACAGGGCCAGATTTCATTGCTGTTCTCTCTCTTTCGTCTGAGAAGGTAACTCAAAATCTTAGCACCCACCTCACTCAGACAAAGCACCTGGATTTTGGCTGTGCAGCCCAGACCTAGATAGGGCAGAGTGAATGCAAGGCAATGCTTTTTTCTTGACAGTACAGTTCAGAGGCTCTATGGAGTCAAGGGACTCCTATGACTTTGCTGAAGGGCACAGTCAGACCTTTGAAGAAGGGGAACAACTTGACATTAAATTCTGCTAGAGCAGTGTAGAAGGGTGGGTTGGCTGGTGTCAATTCAGAATATGAGACTGTAAAAATATTTGCCCTTGGTTCAACCTCATATACTTCATACAAAAGACTCTGTTTGAATAAAGGAATAGCCAGAGAGACATGAACTGAGAAGAGCCAAAAAACTCAAAGCAAAGCTCCAATTCTCTTTGTCCGGAAATCCAACTGTTTTTGGAAAGAAACAAAAACACAGTGGATGTAGACAAAGAAAGGGCAGGACAGATTTTTTGCTGAGGTTTCTCAGTTTTCCTTGATATTATTTAAGAAAGAGTGAGCAAATATTTTATATATAAAGAGTTCACAAGATGTGTTTTTTCCTCCTCAGTGAGGGAAGCAGTTTGACTTTCTGAGATCAGCCTTAGTTTCCTGGATGGATACAGTTGCAGCTTTTCACTAAAGTGCAGGATAGAAAGGAAAGAACCAGGAATTGGGCAATCTAGGTCTCACCCTGCCCCCAGGACAAACTTCTTCCTTTCCTGGCTCACAATCAGTCAGGAGGGGACACGTCTTTGTTTCTGTAGCTGTTTGAGCTAGAATACCCTCAGCATCTTCCCTGACCTACCTTTGCCTCAAATGCTTTGAGGTGCATAGCACACTGAATGCCCGGGCCTTTAATCATATCTGATCCTGGAATGTCTGAAAATAAGAAAAAGAGTTGATTGTTGAGAAGGGTGAACATGGTGCAAAGTTATCAGGATGGAGTGAAGTCCCTCATTTAGGCTACATTACTTCCAGCACAGCACTCAGATAACCGCCTTGGCAGACGTTGCTTCTGTAGCTAGTGACCCAAACTGATCCTGAGAGACCTTTGAGCCAAAACACAACAATAAATACACCAGGTGATCAGTTTGGTGACAAAGCTTTCAGGGCAAGAGAAACCAGTACAGCAGCGCTAAAGCACCAGTATGTAGGATATTCCACTTGACTGTTTTTTTCCAAACATACAAGAGAAGGTCCAGGCAGGTTTACCTGTGCCATACACTACCTCTTTCTCTTTAGGTATATTTAGCCAGATGGCAGGTATTTTATATTTAGAAAAACATTCATTCAGTAGGAAAACATTTCTGCAGGCAGGTTGACGTCAAGGGACTTGTTTTCTTTCTCCCTCTTCTATGGGAGGAGAGTGCCTTGCACCAGACCCTGGAGCTGCTTGCAAGTAAGACCACATGAGAGGTGAGACTTGTGCTGCACAGCCACGGTGCTGATGGAGGAGAGCAGCACAGCCAGCTCCCAAGAGACACCAGTGCTTGGTACCAGCAGTCTGAGGAGGGAGGGTGAGACCTGCAGATACCATGCCTGGCAATGCAGATGGAACTTGGCTATGCACACAAGAAGCAGTTTCAAATTGTTGTAGCCATTTGTATATTTGTTTAAAAAGAAATAAACATCACTGAGAGGCGACACTGGTTGTCAGCCTTCTAGCCTCCTAATGGGCTGAGAAAGGCAGTTAGACTGCTGCATTTAACACAGGTTTAACAAACTGAGAAGCATATTGCTAAGAGTCCTCTGAAGCACCAGCTCTGCCAGACAACCTCAAACACTTCCTGCTCCATTCAGAAAGCAACAAAATGCTTGCAATTTGCTTTGGTTTGAACTGGGCTTTGAAACTAGTGACTAGGATAGGATGCACCACTCTTCTGCACAGTATCCATAGGAAGCAGCAGGGTAATTTATGAGAGAAGTGATTAGTCTTCAAAGAACATCTTTTCAGCAGAAATCCTTTTTTCCTCAAAGGAAAAATTGCCTTTGCAATTTGTGAACTTGCATTTATATATATAAAAAAATAAAACTACTGTTTATTTCACTCTCACCATGTCTACAGCATGAGGTGTGTATGTATAAAGGCCAAACAAAAGCCCTCAACATTTTGGAAGAGATACTGTCTGAAGAGAACGGCTCTCAACCTCCCCACAACCTAAAGAGGGGTTGTAACAAGCTCTATGGAAGCAACCAGCAGGGGCTGGCCTCTCCTGGCCCAGGAAAGCAGGAGCAAACAGCATGCTGGCATCTGGAACAGAAATGAAACCTGTGGGGAACTCTGGCAGCAAGGAGTCCTCATGGAAAACAAGCACGAGCAATTAGGAAAGCAGGACTGCAGTGCTGGCCTGTGAAGTTAGGGCCTTGCCCTGCTGGACTCACTATCCAGGCTCACATGTCTCCCCCCCTTCCTATAGCAACATTTCTGGGGCACCAAACTGCCTTGGAAGCAGTGGCTGATATTGTCCTGACCCAACACACTCTGAACGCTGCCCCTACCGATAAACTGGGCACAGCTCTCAGAAATGGGAGCAAATGATACAGTCGATATGAGGCAAATGGTGCATTCTCTGTAGCAGGCAAGATCATGAATGCATCTGCTGTGGCCTCAGCATGCTAAAGAACACGAGCAGCTTGGGAGGTGTAATGCAGTGCTCCTAACACCATCTTCCCTTCCCTGTGTTCCCTGGAACGCTTCCCTCTTTACTTAAGGAAAGCTGCATCCTTACACAAAGTGCTTTCTGCTGAGTGCTAGGACAATGAAAATGGATCACAAGCCTTGCTGGAATTAGTCCTAAGATGGGGACTGAACCATCCTGGAACACAGATGGGGTCAGGTCGGGTTTTTCCCTACAAACAGGAGAAGCCATGTGGTTTTTGTATAATTTGGAACATTTTCTTACAGAATGAAGATTGATTAGATGTCTGGAGTTCCCCAGAAACAATGTTGATAGTGTTAGCAGCCTGCACGCTACAAGAACCCATTCATAAAAATAAATAAATAAATTAAAATCCTCATTTATTATTATTTTTTTTAACTTTATGTTCTTGGAAAAAGAAGCTTATTGGGTAACTATCAGAATTCCTCTTTCATCACCTTGTCATAAACCCCACAGGCTCTGAATTCCTTTAGCAATCTCTCAGTAAAATTGTGACCTGCCTATTCTAATAAATATACCTCTTTTACCCCTAAAAACCTGGAAACAACCATGAAGTTGCACTCCTGGCCTTGCTCCTAGTTCTGCTAATTGAGACATCAAAGGAGATGAATAACTGAGGTTGTGACTGCACAACCCCTGCACATCATCCTCTTTCTCTAGACCATTTTCAAACAGGACAACTAACTTCTGTCAACATAGATGTCCCTCTGAATTTTCAGCTGTATAATTATCATTACTTCTATGAATGATGGATCAGCTGCTGTCTGTCTCTCTGAGGCAGCTGTACCTCGGGGGCAGGTGGTTGGTTCCTGGTTATATCTCATGCAAACTCTGACAGTCAGGTGAAATCTGCCATCCTAACTCAGTTCCACATCAAAGCCACGCTGTAGTTATAAGGAGCGAACTCCCCTCAGTCCCTCTGCACACAAAGGCTTTTCCACCTTCACAAGAGCACTGACAGGTAAGTCTGACACTTCAAACTGCAAAAGCATTCTAGAACCAAGATGGAAAAATTACTGCTGTAAGATGGAGATTAATGAAGAAACTGCCTCAAATTCATCCACCATAAGATGCACTTAGAAATGGCCCCTGGCTGCTTGGGAAGCAGTGTCTCCTTAACTGCACTGGATTGGTATTTTGCTCTAACAGACAACGCCTTTGGGGTGAAACACTTACAGGACAGCTGCAGGCAAAAACACAAAGATACTCTTGCAGGCCACCAGCTTTTCCATCCATGCTCTGGTGCCTCTTTGTGTTTGAGCTGCTAGTCCTCCACAGCCTCTGCTCACATCATTTTTGTAGCTGTTAGGAGCATCATGTGTATCCACATAAAACAGAGCAAACAAGACGCATGAATTAGGTAGCTGCTGGGGAAGAACAAATCAAGCTGCGCTTGTTCTCCCCCTAGTTTGCTGGCATCAATTTCCTGCTGGTGAATAAACCCAGCGAAATTCCCTGGTACGCTGTCACTCACATTCAGCCCAGCCTCTGACCAATGAAAATTCAGGAGAGATTGAAATGGGACCAGGTTTCAATGAAAAGTTGGCACCTAAAAGATACATTTAAATCCTCTATGCACTGAACACATTATTATGTTTAGGATATTATGCTGATCCCAAAAAGAGTTTTCAGATTTGCTCGCAAAGGGGACAGGTCCAGTGACCCCAGTGCCATCCTCAGCCTTCAGTGATGCACACCTACTGTGGAGACAGCAAGTTTGCTGGGGGTCCACGTCCTGAAGCAAGAGCTCAGACATCTGTAGTTAGCTTGGAGCACCACAGCTTCTCTCCACAGCTTCCTGGCAGGCTCTAACTTGGAGGACAGGGAGGGAAAGAGGAAATTTGAAAACACCCTTTCCTCTTTCAGAGGAGTGTGCTGCAAACAGCTCTGCTTGCCAGCTCTTGTGGCGTAGTTGCCAGGCAGTAGTACTGCTCTGCAGTCCAGGATCAACAAACTACACGTTTGCATTCTCACTAGAGCCAGCATCATTACTGCCACAACTTAACACCCTTAAACAGAGACTGCCACAGCTGCGAGAGCTGCCTTGGGAATGGGGACAACTGCAGCAACAAGTTGATGGAGGAAACAGAAGAATGGCTGCTGTGAAACTCGTGGATGAAGCAAGCGCTTCCTTTCCTGTTAGGTGTGAAGAACAAAAAACCCAGCAGTCGGATGGACCGACCACGCTGGTTGGTGACCTGACCACAGCCAACAACTGCTGTGCCTGCACACTGCTCCAGCAGGATCCTGCCACCTGCACTGTGCCCATCCAACAGGCTGTCAGTGCTAGCAAGCCCACTGCCCTTCTGACTAACGGCCTCTAATTTTCTCCATCTCTCGTCAACATCTTGTTTTTCACTGCCTTTATGTCCTGATATTGTATATCCACCTGTTCTTCACTCTGCCCTCCCTAATTTCACATGTCAAACAAGCTCCTTCTCCTTAGCAATTGCCATTTTGAGAAGAACTGCCTCACAGAGACCTACTGATCCTGGGAAGGGTCCATAGAGCCAAAACGTCTGTAATTTTCTCCACATCCAGTTTTCCAACTGAGCTAAAGATGCATTAGACCATGACGATTTGCATAAATGTAAATCCATTACAATTAGACTACTAAATATACATCATGTAAATAAGGACTGCTGTTCGTTTTGAGTCCCAGAAATGCTGCAGAAAATGTGGCCGTACAAATAAGTAGGCAGTTACTTGAGCTCAGCTTCAGGGATTCATCAGCAAGCAAGAAGTGACAGCCTATTAGGCACTTGTGGCAGGAGAAATTAATTGAAATGCTGGAAACATTTTGCTTTTTCTGCTCAAAGGTTGGACTCAGGCTGTTACAGACAGCTGGAACAGGCTTTAGATGGAGTTTAAGCGTAATAATTGCAAGATAAGACTCACTATCAGTATTTGTAGAGCAATCCCTTTATGGTGTGTAGCAAGAGGAGTGGGTAGAGTGAATGAGATGATAACGATTCATTGCAGCCAAGGTTTTTTTTTTTCCTCATTCTGACTCCTGCCAACCTCTCAGACCATGGACAGGATAAAATAACGAAAAGCGCTGCTCTGAGCAGTTCTTCTCTCATGGGACAATACCTTTCACTGGTTTGCAGAACTACTATTGCAGTCAAACTGCACCATGAAGGGACTTCTCCTTTTCCTATACCTGAGGATGACAATGTTGCATATTTCAGGAGCTATTACTGCTGAAAAAAACTTCCTGAACAAAAACCAGATAATCTCCTGAGACATTTTCAGTCTGTAGTTGATGATTCAAAGAGAAATAATGAATAAAGAACTCTAAACTTTTAGGCTGTAGAATGCTCTCTGCCTCCTTGTTTATTATAGCAAAAAGAAAAAGAAAACCAGCCAGAGAGATGGCCAAATCACTTCATCACCCTCTCTCTGACAAGCTCATACCTTCGGACCATCATGGTGGCTGAAAAGCTGTGGATGGCTTGAAATCAGGATTTATTTTTAGGTTTCCAGACTGTGTATGTTCCTGCCAAAAAGAGCCTGGTCCAAAGTTTATTCAAGTCCGTGATAAAAATGTCTAATGGCGTGAATGACCTTTGGATCAGCTCCAAAGAGTGTGCACTGATATTAGCAGTGGGGCTGGCTGGGGATTCCCTTTGGGAAGGCTGCCCAGTAAAGAGGTGGTTTTCACAAAATTGAAATTTTCAAGGAGAAAAACATCCTGATTCTGAACTCCATTTCCTTTTCAGAATAAAGAAATAAAAATACACTTCTTTTCTTTCAATTAAGGAAAGTCAAGAAGCAGTATTTTCTTCAGGACCACTTGGAACAAAATCAGAAAACTATGTTTTAGTCTGAATGTGTTCAATAAACCATTAAAACCTCATTTCCCTGTAAGTATCCCCAGTGCCTCCTCACAGGGGTTGTGGTTTATGTGTCTCATATTTCCTTGAGGACTTCTTCCTCCATAATGCAAAGTGGACTCTGTCAAGTCTGTGAGAAATGATAGCAACTGCATGCTGTCCCCTGAGAAATACAGTCAACAAATTCCTGGAAGAGAGTGGCCCAGTTTTGAGTAGCCACTTCCCTGGATGGAACACATCTCTAGGGCTTTGAAAGCTCTCTAGAAGCTCATTTGACCTTCGTTGAACAACTGTCTTCCCTGGAGTTATCTCTACTTCAGATAAGGGAGGCCAGAATCATATATAGTCACCGCCCAGTTGACAGGCAGTAAATGGTATGTGGAGCAAGCACTGGGAAAATCACCTTTTGATCTCATTGAAGGTGGTCCTCAAACCAGGTCATGCTTGAGAGAACTGGCAAGGAGACCGAGGAGAGGCTGGGCTGCAGCTGTCTACGCAGGGACAGTCTGCTGTTTAACAGAATATTTGTCTTTCTCTTGCTGCCAATTTCAGAGCCTTTATAAATACCACACCTACATAAAATGGGATAAAATAAACGATTCTCTTTAGGAACCCCACACCCTTCCTTCACCCTCCCTAAGAACTTCTCAACATCCAAGGGCTGCAGAGAGATGCAAAGGGAATTGCTGTTAAAAATTACCCATCTGGGCAGGAGAACAATTTATGCTGGACCTGAGGCAAGGCTGAGGTTCCATTTCCTACTGAGAGTCAAGTGAAAAATGTTATCCCAGGGCCTGCTGTGCAGTCATGGCAACTTCCGCAGCGTAGCTCGAAACCTGCACAGATGCAGTCAGGACATGGGACACAGCCTCTCTTCAGCCCCTCCTCCGTATCTTGCCCTGCAGTGAATACTTCACAAGCATCCCATCACATCCTCACCCCCAAGTCTGTCTCCTGTTGCACAAGGCTGTTTTGCCATGAAGTGCAAAACTTCATTTGTTGATTATTTGGCAAGATGCCTTTGTGCTTGTGAATGGACCTGGGGCTCAGCACAGGACTATTCCATGGAAGTCTTATACTCAAAGACCCATATTCACCAATCCAGCAGGTCAAAAGAACTCTTAGTATCTAGCCACCTGGTTTGCTCAGACAGAGATGGGATTGAACGTACAAGCAACACTAATTAGCTCTGAATCAAATGTTCAAAACACAACTCCTGGGAGAGGATAATGCCACACACCTTCAAACCGGACCGCGCAACTTATGAAAGTCAGCTCTGGAATACACACTACAGTGTGGGATTTACAGCACCCTTTTATTATTATTATTGTTATTATTTTCCTTCTTACCTGGGGACTGAATGTTTGGGGACCGTGGAAGGAGAGGGCTTTACATCTGGAAAGCGTCAGATTTAACGCCCAAAGTCAGCAGCCCAGGTCAGCTAAAAGTACATGTTTGCTTCCAGCAGCAGCTGTGCAAACTCCTGTTGCCTCGGTTGTGCAGGGTTTATGTAAAGACTCCTCAAAGACAGTGCCCTCTTTGTGAGCCCGGAGCTCTGCTGATCCCTGGCAATTCCAACCCTACTTTCAAAAGAAATGGGCCTAAAATGGCATTCCCACCGCAAACAGATGTGTTTCAGCCTCTGTCTAAGGCAGCATTCATTTCATCATGTAAATGAAAACATCATAATTTAGGGTCACACGTCTCCTGCCTGTCAGGCAGGCACTGCCAGCTATTTTTACAGCATCCCAGGGTGTTGTGGCAGTTTAGAGAACAAGTGACACTCCTTTCCAAAGGCTGTTCAGAATGACACCACTCAGTGAGAAGCTCTGAGCTCTAAGCCTTCATTTTGTCCTTGACTTTTTTTCTGACCAGAAAATATCTGTGTGTATTGCATATTGTACCATGAGAGCAAGCTCTCTTCACACTAGAAGCGAACAGCTCAACATACATACTCGGTAAGATAAGCCAAGTTTAATTCACTGACTTCAGTAGCTGTTGATTGCTTCTGTTTTACACTGAGATCGAATCTGGCCAATTTATTTAACCTAATCAACAAAATTCTAATTATAAACAGTGCAGTAAAAATACTGAGCATCAGAAAGAGGCACAAAAACCACTACAGAAAACAATCTGAAGCATCCTTGCCTTGTAGCCAAATATTATATCTGCAATGCAAACAAAACACCTCCATATTTACAGCTTAGTGGGCGTTTTGATCACATAATAGCTTCAGGGTTCAAACCACTGTTCATTAAAGTCAACAAGAATCTTTGCACTGACTTTAATGAGCTCTGAGTCAATACTGGAACATACAGCATTTTACTAAGAATTCAAAGTGGAAAAAAGCCCCACCTCTGGTAAAACCCTCACCTTGGTCTTTCTGAAAGCTGAATGATGGGAAGGACCACGCTCCTCTTGCTGTGCGGTTTCGGCCTCCACGGGTAAAATGCCCTGCTGAGCCCCTCCTGGTGGTGCCAGAACTCCTCATGCTGAAAGGTCTGCTGGCAGATTTCATTACAATAATTGCCCCAGAGTTAATATTGCACTGTAGAAAAAGAGGGGAGGAAAATGCAAGGGAACAAAGTCCAGATGATCAATCATCCTTTTTTTACTGACACTGCCCGTATGTGGGTTGTTTTCACTGGAAATATACACCTAATAATTGGTCAGGTTCCTTGTTTTTTCAACATCATTTCTATGGTAAATGCCATTAGTTACCGTGCCACAGTGATTTAAAGCTGAAAACCTACTGTGACCTAAACCAAAAGATAGATTAACTTATCTGCTTTTACAAGGAGTTGCTTGAAGCCTCACAGGAAATATTGTATGAACTTAAATTTCACATGGCCAGTAATTACTTCTCCTGTTATTTTTCTATTAAAGAAATACAAAAGGAAATGGGGACTGGGTACATCGTGGGGGTTGAGTTGTAGTGCTTTTTTTCTACAGGTCATCAATTCAGGGTAATTTAGCTGATGACTCCAGAGATCTCAGCCCAGCTGCTGGTGGACAGGTGACTACACTTCCTCATCAACCTTTGCTAAATTCTTGAAAGCAATTAAGTAAACTTAGAGGACTTTGGCTAACCAGTCTAGCCCAAGCTTGTGTCATGTATGGGGCTGTTGTTTCAGACTGCTAAGCAGCTGGATACGTGGTCAGACACTGACTAGTAGTGCTAAAGTCAGCCCCTCTGAGCACCACAGAGGGTTTGTCTCTGGTTATTACAGAAATCAAAGGAGGCTGAATAGAACCCCAGTGGCACAGGGTTATTCCCGGATTGCCATGAAGGAGGTGCGTGTGTGAGATATATGCTAAGAGCCTGCTGATAAGGATAAAAAAGAGGGAAAACAGATTTTCAGCTCAATGACTGGTAAGAACGATTCTGGAGATTGCTGAGTTGCAGGATCTATGGACTGGTATCTCCAAGAAGGTTCAATTAACAGCTTCTATTTTTTTATTAGGATAGATGCTGAGATCCTGAAACAACTGGCTGTCAGTAGTATTTTAGCTAAGACATGGGAACCAAAGACTTTTAACTTGAAAAGTTCCCTAGGACAGTGAATTCTGACTTTTTTTTTCTTTCCATTTGTGGACTCTCAGCAATGATGCAGCTCCTGTACAGTGAATTTAACTTGACTATAGATTTGCTTTTCTTGGTTTCCTTCCACAAGTGACAAGTTGACAGCTACTGGTCTTGGAAGAAGATGGCCTTCCAATCCTCAGGCCACCATATGGTGCACAAATCATTTCTTTTATGTCATACCTTATTTAGAGCTGCAGGAAATAGAGGTAATAGATGAATGGGGCCATCTCTCCTACTGTCCATCACATGTCACTGTGCAACGACCTGTTTTCAACATGCCATGTCTCAACAGGCAACTTGAGAGCTGTGGCTGTCCTTCCAAGCTTTATAAACGTGCCAGATGGGGTGGATACCTGGAGAAGAAATGAGCCACTGACTGTGAGACATTAGAAGAGGGATAACATGTCATAAATCAAAGAGACACAACACTACTCCAATAGACTAGCCAAAAATGTGAACTACAGGAATTCTTACAGTAACTTCTGTTGAATCAAGAATTTAATCTGTAAGCTGCTCAGTGAGGATTTACATTTCCCTTCTGGTCCTGCACTCTTTAAAAAAATGTGAGGAAGATGTTTTTTCTTGGGCTGTGTTATCCTCACTGTTATCCAGGCTTCACTAAAAAAAAAAAAAAAAAGCCACCAGAAAATCAAAAACAACATTTGGTTTTTGACTTTTCTTTTACATTCATAAATTCACTAGGGTACTTATCTGATGATGCTTAGAATAAAAGTGTCCTACCTAGAACTATATTTTTCCCTTCCTAGTCACAAAACTAAGTAGGACAGGGACACAGGGTACATCTATAAATCAGGGGGTGTAAACATAGCAGCAGAGTGCCACCCAGTTCCCACTGTGAATGGAAGAGTAACTGAAGGAAAACACATTAGACCTGTTAACAGCTTATGCTTGTCCACGTGACCTTTCCTCTCTGACTTTCCTATTAGGTCTCCTATTCTGCTCCATGGATGGAAAAGGAGACAGCTAGATCACACACTACACCCAAAAGAGGCAGAGAACAATACAGAGGCTTTTCCCTTCCCTTTCTTCCTCTGCAGAGTGGTTTCTTCAAATGAACAGAACAAGATAATTTGGATCAGAGACAGGCACCTCTCTGCTAGCTGAGGTGTCAGTTGAGCCCTGCATTCACTTTTTGGCTACAGATTTCACCATACCCAGCACCAAGTGCAGACAAAATCTGAATGCTTCACTTTGCACCATGAAATGACACAGTCTCACTCCTATTCTGCAATCAGTACTGGAGCCAGGAGGCATCTGGTTCTGTGGGACATCCTGCCATAGCCTCCCAAACAGCCCTTTTGTCCTCTACTGGCTCCTAGCAAAGCTTCAGTTCTTTGCTTTTGATGCTTCACTTGCTCAAATCCCACTGCAGTCCGGTGCTAGAACAGGCCCACTGGGGCTGCAGAGTGCTCCCTGCAGGCGGGCAGAAGGGCCATGTAAAAATCAAATCCACATGACTGTGTTTATAGGCAACCAAAGAGAGGCTTGCTCTTCCAAGAAAAACTTTTCCATGTAAAGGAATTCCTAATCTCCCTTTCGACCGTCACTGTTGAAATGACGGCTTCTCAGGCTTGAAATTTAAGACGCTATCAGCATCTATTCTGTTAGCTGTGATTTATGAATGGTTTTGCTGTTGATTATCTCCCAAGATTACAGCATAGCAGCCCTGACAGACAAGCAGAGGAAATTTTACAGGATAACGGGCAGGTCCTTTGGCAGGGCAGTGAGGCAGGGAAGTGTTTTGACTCAAGTGTGTAACAGCATCAGCAAATGCTGACTGGAGTCAACAGGCAATTGAGCAGATTACATGTAGTGCCCTTCTCAAAGGTCAGCAGGGTCAGCAGAAGCTTTTATGGTAACTTTTTCACAGCTTTGGACCCTTTGCTCACTCTGTAATACAACCTGCAGTTACTTTGTTTGCCTTGGTTGTGGACTTGGTTGGACTGCACTTTGTGCAGTAACAAACGAAAAGTTCCATTTGCTGCGTGTTACTCTGTGCATGTCCTTTAGAGATCATCCTTCCTGACTGCAGTAGCAAAGTCTACTGCTGGGAGATAAACTACCTTTATGTCAAGCCCAAAGTATTCAAAGAAAATTTTCTACCTTTGATTTACTGCCAAGAACGGCCATTCCTGAACCCCCCAAAAAAACAGTTTTTGTGGCTTTGGCATTCATTTCTTGCTAGACAGTTTCTTCCAGGTCACTGCTATGAGGGAGTGTTTAACTGGTAAGGGTAACAGGGCCATGACAGGTGCAGCCAAGACCTGAAAGAACTGCACAGCATTCTGGTTTCTCCCACAGTGCAATATTGACACAGCAGTGTACTAAAGGGAGACAGGAACAAGTTACAAGAACCTGCGGTGGCTTGGCGAAGCTGTACCTGAGGATGCTCCAAGGAGACCTTTCCTGAGAGAGCTCTCAGAAGCTGTGATCCCTGTGTCAGACTGGCTCCTTCTGGGCTGTGGTCTTCACTTGACCAAAGAGCCGAGACTCAGAGTCCAGGTTGCAAGAATTTCTGATGTGAGGACTGCCCGACAAAGAAAGAGCAGGACTTTTCAGGAGAGAGGTGGTTTTATCTCCTGATAAAAGGTTTCTGCTTGTTCAGGCAAAAGGCTCCTTTGATTTGAACTTATCCAAGCCGTTCTGCAAAAATTGGCATGTGGCTTCCAGGTACAGCACTACAGATGTGCTTCCTGTAGCTTGTAACAACGTCTGTATCCGTGCAGTGCATTGCAGTGTGGCATCCTCATGCTGTGGATCCTTTTTTTGCTGAGGAAAAAAACCCTCCAGAAGGTGCCAGGCAAGGGGGGTCTGGGTTTGATATATGTGGGTCCTGCACTGTGATTACCCTCCCCTTGCCTGGAGCGATGCTGCTGCTTTGGTGTCCTTCAGTACCATTCTCACAAGGAGAGGAAAGGCTGAAAGGCTGAACCTCTTTGGAAGGAACCAGAGAGCATAGTTGCTTCCAATTGTGGCCTGAGCCATTCTTACTGGGGCTAGTTATGCTGTGGGTGTTCTGAAGGATCAAGTTTGACAGTGAACCAGAATGGACATTCCTAGCATTCTTCCAATTTTGCCACCCAGCCTGTTTCAGAAAAAGTCCTGATGTAGGTGTTTGTATCCTGTCTATTTCTTCTCTCACAGTATTTGTCTTTCAAGCCTGGCAGCAGTGGAAGGAAACTTAGCACGTGATGCTGACATTCTGCCATGTCTGTGGGATGGCAGATTATTAAAGTGCTTAAATCTAGCTAAGAGAATAGCTAGGGAAACAGGAGGCAGTGGACCTACCCAAGAATGCAGAGATTCAAATTCCAGTGGATTCAAGGAAGGGCATGGGATTTTGTTCAGAAGCTGAGCTGCTCACGTCAGGAAGGTCTCTGTGTCCCTCCCTCAGGACTTCCCACCTGTGCTACATCATTTTGTGCTAGTGACACCAAGCTGAGTGGTGCAGTCAACACACCTGAGGGCCAGGATGCCATTCAGAAATACCTGTACAGGCTCAAGAGGTGGACCCAGGCGAACCTCACGAGGTTCAACAATGTCAAGTGCAAGGTATGCACGTGGTTCATGGCAACCTTCACTATCAGTACAAACTGTTGGAAGAAAAGGCCTTGCTGAGAAGGACTTGAGGGTACTGGTGGATGGCAAGGTGGACATGAGCCAGAAATGTGCCCTTGCAGCCTAAGAGACCAATTGTATCCTGAGCTGCATCCAAAGCAGCATGGCCAGCAGGTCAGGGAGGTGATCCTGTCAGCTGGAGTACTGCATCCAGAGGGGGAGTCCTCATTACAGGAGAGACAGGAGCCTGTTGGAGTGTATCCAGAGGAGGCCCACCAGAAAGTTCCAAGGGACAGAACACTTCCTCTACAAGGACAGGCTGAGAGAGCTGGAGCTGTGCAGCCTGGAGAAGGAGGGCTCCAGGGAAACCTGAGAGCAAACTTTCAGTATGTAAAGGGGGACTGGAAGAAAGAAGGGGATGGACTCTTTAGCAGGGTCTGTGTCATAAGACAGAGGGAATGGTTTCAAACTAAAGAGGGAAGATTTAGACTGGATAGAAGGAAGAAGTTTTTTACAATAAGGGTGGTGAAGCATTGGCACAGGGTACCCAGAGAGGTGGCGTAAGTCCTGGCCTTGGAGACACTGAGGGTCAGGCTGGACAGGGCTCTGAGCACTTGATTAAGCTGCAGATGTCCCTGTTCACTGCACAGGAGTTGGACTAGACGACCTTTGGGGGTCCCTTCCAACTCTAACAACTCTATGATATATATACCTATGTCTGCAAACTTCACCCGCAATGAATTTCTACTCAGCCGGATTTTCACTTGCCAAGAACCAGACCTTGTTGCTTCAGAAGGACTTTTGAGCAACAAACAACCCATTTCCATCATACCTGTCAGGACAGGAGGCATTTTTTACTATCTGCCACCCTGCGATTTACATGAGAGCACCCCATCTTGGTTGAGTTGCACAGTACTAACTTTAAGCAGATTAATAATAATAATACCACCATAATACATGCCTACACATGCCCTGCAGAAGCCAGCAGCAGTTTAGCCAGTTATAAGTGAAGTCTGTACCTCTGTGTATGCTTGGGGCTGCACAACATTGCCTAGCACTTCAACAACATGGGACTTGGAAAACTAAACTATGAACATCCACTACTGTGCTGAAAATATGCTTTATGCTCAAATTTAATTTAAAAAATATATGTTACTTAGATCCAGGAAATACTGGATTATAGGTTCTCAAAACAAGTAGAAAAAGAAGTCTCTCCTCCCATTGCTATCCAAACTACAATGTATCTGTACAGAAGTAAAGGATAGGGTACTCACTCCTGCCCGTTGCTGAGTCCTTTTCCTTCTTTCTCCTGGGGGAAAGCAGCTTTGAAGATACTCCTTCTCCTTACATGTACAGTCACTGCAGTTCAGGAGAGGGGCAGGGGAACAGGGCTGCAGGGGAACTGCTGTGCTGAATGTCTGTAGTGTAGCCAGCATTAACTGGCTAGAGAATCCTATTACATGATAGGTAGCAAGCCAGGGCCTAATTGATGGAAATTTTGACCTTTGGTCCCCTTTGACATTTTCAGATCAGCCATAGCCTGTGTGAGATATTAAAGCTCTTACAGTAAGGGGCCCTAAATCAGCCTGTGTGGCTGCTGGAGCCAATGAGTGGGTCAGAGGTAAGAATTCACTGAGGTTCGTGTGTGGGCTGCTCAGAGCCTGTTTGACATTTATAAATCAGTGACATTCCTCTGCACAGCTCAGTACATACAAATCACTTCAGTCTCTGTGGGGAGGGCCCCTCATCTCAGTCAAGGGTGGATTTGGGCATCCATGGCCTTTCCTTTTGAGTTGAGCAGAACACGCCTTAACAAACCCAGCTTTATCAGCTGGCAAGGTCACCTACCACCCTAAGTGTGGCTTGTTGTTGGAGATGGAGTGAGGACTCTTTTAGCATCAAAACTGCCTCTGAGGACTCTGTGCCATCTTCAGGGCTTGGTCACAAAAGTCATCATCACTAGATGCCATACCAGACAGCCCACACTCTTGTCAGCTGCCATAACAAATGTTGTGCTCATGGACTCTGTTACTAGAGCAGCACAAACAGCCATGATCCTGTTCTGCTCAGTGCTGGGCTTGTTAGATGTCAGCAGCTTCCCAGGAAAACCTACACGCTGCAAATAATGCTCCACCAGGCTGAGAACTATGAGTGGGCCTGCCTGAAATTTCTCACAGTCTGGACTCTACATAGAGAGAAAACATGATGAGAAAACCGTAACCAGGACTGTGGACAAGGTACCGTTAACATCAGCCAGTTATTGTGCAACAGACATCCATCTTGGCTTCTGTGAACTCGAGCTGCTTAACCACTGCTACTTCTCCAAACTGTGAGAGTTTACATGGCCACCCCATCCACCTCAGTGCTGGCACCTTGCTCCTCCTGGGTAACGGTGTGCTGGGCTTTGGGACGCTCTTCTGTCACACTTGCAGTGGCCCAAGCACGTGGTGGCTGGGATGGCGAGGCTACTGCCTCTGTGGTTGTGAACCTGCAGCTGTGGAGACGGTCAAAGAAAGAGATGCTCACGTTTTAGGCTGTGCAATACCTAAAGGGCTGCCATGAGGGCACGGCCACCAGAGAGGGGGCTACGGCAGCTGTGTATGCCCTGACACAGCCACTCAGTGCTTGTCCAAAGCCGCCCCGAAATGAAGAGGAATGAAGAGGAACGGCGGCTGTTGGGAAGAGCTCCTCCTTCGTGCCCACAGGCCTTCACGCTGAGGGAAAAAGCTGCCGGGGTGGCTGATGGGTGGGGGTGAAATTAGTGAGGTAAAAACCTGACAGGAGGGAGGTAACCGTCTGACAGAAGTGAAGGAAAACCCAGGCGTGAGGGGATAACTCAGGGTGAGGTCGAATCACAGCTCCGCGACGGCGGGCGGGCGCCTGGGAACCCTCGCGTCTCCCCGGGGGACGAAGCCCGGCGGGCGAGGACGGCAGGGCGCCGGCAGAGACGCTCTCAGCTTCGGAAGAGCCTGAAAACGTACAGCCGGGCAGAGCCGGGGGCCGAGGAAAGGGGAGGGCGCTCCCCGGCTCCCTCCCACCCTCTCCGGATAAATGTGCCGCCGGGAGGCGGCGGGCGGCCGGCAGCAGCGCGTGGAGCGGCGCGTGGAGCGGCTCGGGGCTCGCGCTCCCGCTCCCCGCCCAGCGCTCTCTGCCGGCGGGGCCGCCGGGTTTTCTCCGCTTCCCGTCCCTTCTGACGGACGCGGGGCCGGGTGAGGGGCGGGCAGCCCAGCGCGGCCGATGCCGGCTCTCCCCGCCTCGCTCGGCTCGGCGCGGGCTGCGGCAGGCCGGTGGCGGCCGTCGGGATTCGGAGCCCCCCCCGGGCGCCCTTCCCGTCCCGTCCCTCCGCGGCCGGAGGGTTTTCTCCCGCTGCGGCCGCCTCGCTGCCCCCCAGACATGGTAGGGCACCTCCAGCTGCAAGGGATGGACGAGAGCCTGAAGGAGAAGAGCCGGGAAGGCTTGCTGGACAGCCCGGACTCGGGGCTGCCCCCCAGCCCCAGCCCCCCTTTCTACTCCCTCTCGCCCGGGGGCGGCGCGGAACCCCCGGCCCCGGGGCAGCGGCGAGAGGCCAAGGACGGCAGAGGGGTAAGAGCAGAAGCGATGGTGGGAGAGGGGGGAGAGGGATTTAAAGGACGGTGGAACTTCACCCCAGGGGCCTTTCGGGTTTCTTTGACGTATCAAAGACGTTTGGAAGTGTATTGCACACAGCTAATTGGCTTCCATGCAGAATAAAAGCTGTCAGCAGCACTGAGATTGCCGTGGAGAAAGTTCATCTACCTGTGTGATGGTGGCTGTTCACGCTTCTTCCCAGCAGAGACGCTCTGCAATGACTTACCCTGCCCTCATTTTCTTTCTCAAGTTCTAAGGCTATTTTTGCGTATTAATCGCAGCTGCCTTCTGCTGTCAGGTAATGCCAGATCCATCCCCAAGAGCAACATCTCAGCGCAGTACGGTGGGGAGGGTGTGAGATGTTAAATAGGGAAATCAAATCCGAAGCCCACTAACAACCTCTCACCACTACACAGCCCTACCTGCAGGCGTGCCGTCTGATGGACCTGTGCTCAGTTACCCACGTTGCTCTGGTTTGGTGGGGTCAGGCTGTTGCTACATGTCTGTAAAATAAAATGTGGGAGGAAAATGAATGAACGCTTGCTGGGTCAGGAAGCAGCTGGAGTGGAGGTGTCTGCAGAGGTCAGCAATGGGGTGTGATGGCCTCCATTGCAGCCATCGTGACAGCCAGCCACCACTGCTCTCAAGAAAGCCCTTAGGTATTGGAGATGAAAGAGGGTAAGAAAAAACTGTTCTGGCTCTTGGTCTGATAGGACTGAGAGTTTTAGTGCTCCTGCAGGGGGGAAAAAGTTATTCCAACGATCTGAATAAAGCAAAATTGCATTTACAAATTATTTTTCTTTCTTCGAACACAAATGAACATTTCAAACATCTCTGAGGAACAGCTTACATTTTTTTTTTCTGATTTTTATACCCTACTTCAGCAGTATGGGCAGCCCCGTGCTCCTGCTGTTGGCAGATGGGTGCCATGTACTGCAGATATTTCTGTACATTTAGTAGGTACAGAAGACTAAAAGATACTGATACAAAACTAATTAGACTGCTTTAATTGGAGTGGTGCAGGACTGTACTCTCTAACTCTGCTTGTTTGGTATATGGAACTGGCAGGAATTTTCACTTGACTGCACAGAGTTTCACATCTAATTTCCAACATTCTACTTGCAGCTGTTAAGAAAATGGGAGAAATACGGGGAGCATTTCAGTGTCTAATTAGCTTTAACCTTACCATTTAACAAGGACTTCCAGATCTATAAGCAATTACACAATCCATGAATGTGTTTAACTCTGCTACTCTGCTGTTCATCAGAGCATGCAGAATTGGCAAATCAATAATTGCAGCTATTTGCACACCGACGCGTGGGTTTTTTCAGTCGCTTATTATATTAGTCTTCGTTTTGCTTACAGATGTGACAGAACCAGGAATGCAGTCTGCATTCTTTGTGGTATAATACTATAAAACCACATATAAGCTCAGTTACTAATGGCCAACGTTTTAGTATGTACAGTTACAATAAATTGCTGTCAGGTGAAGAAAACAACATTCCAGATCTGTGGGAAGGATTTCATACTGCTCCTTGCTGCAGACCTATCAAAACCACCAGGCTGAACCCAGTTGCGTTCTTTTGCAGTCGGCTGTTTTGCTCTAACTTCACAAATATGTTGAAGGATTTTTCTGAGAGCTCTTCTCTTGCAGACTAAAGGAGACTGCATGCTCGTATCGAAGACTTCCTTGTGTGTAAAATCCATGCTCTCCCTGCTTTGTGTCATTAACTGTGACTCTGAAAAAGTAAACTCCTTTCTCTTTAATAAGTGTGACTTTGTTTCAAAGACAATGCACCATTTATTCCCATTTAACCAGCCAATTTGGCTACAGCTTTAGGATCCAAGAAAATATGAAAGGCAATTGGGGCCAGAGTCATAAATACCACAAGTTCAACACCATTTAGGGACCTTTTTTTTTTTCTTTTTCTTCTCCCTGCATTTTACTTGCAGTGCAGGAGAAATTAGCTTTTACTTATTCAAATAAAACTCACATAGGGAATTTGTTAATTGCTTTCTGCTGAAATGCAAATATCCTAAAGAAAATAGAAGGTGACTTTTACCTAGTTCTGCCCTTTAAATCTGAAACATGATTAAATTTCTTCTTAAGACTGAATTCCCTAGGCTTTGCTTGTAATGCTGGGCCAAAAGGAACATACATACAATGAAATAAATCTCTAATAATGCACACAAAGAAGCAATTGCTGGAAGGGCAGGGAATGAAATCACATCAAGGTAGCCAGATCTGCTTAGAGTTTTCCCTGTTGTTGTTGCCCATGTGTATAGTTTTAGGCCAGAAGGAGTGAATGTGAGCTCTTGCAAACGCTGCACTGAAATAGTGCTTAGCATCCACTAGTATCGCTCCTCGAGGGTCTGAGGGGAGATCAGGACCACGTTCTTCTGCAGAACCATCCATCACGACTTCTTGAGGCAGCATACATCTTGTCTTCTCCCACTGCTGTTGCCTCTGCAACAAGTTCAGTTTTATTTGAAAAACTAAACATTTATGAATTCAACTTGCCTCGCTGAGCACTGATCCCAGTGGATGGGCTGTCAGATGGGAATTCCGATTTATACTGTTGACAGCAGTGCAGAATTGGGGTCGGTCCTGTGGGAGGAGATTCTAGCTTCATCTTTAGCACTGTGCAGGAGTGTTCTTTGCCCTTTAGTGTAGACTTGATGGGTACAGTTCCATCAGTGGAGTCCAGGTTAGCTTGCATGCCTTCTTCCTGAACTGCCACATATTGAAGAACTCTTGGGGCCAAAGAGCCTGCATTTTGTTCTACACTGAAAGCTT